GAGGGATAAAGGGTCTCCTGGGACAGCCAGGAGAATGCCAGCATCCCAGCTGTACCTGTTAGAGGTGACATGTCTTTGAAACCCTCCCAGTAACTCCAGCGAGGCTGACTCCAGGGACATCTGGATCAAGCGGCAAGCATGCTGCAGAAAGACCGTTGCTTTGCACGGTTTTACTGTGATTAGTAATGGGCGGTGTGGGTGCTGGTGATTAGTCGTCATCTCGTACCCGGACGGTTGAAGGGTATAAGAACCCTCTGTAAAGCCACACTCAAGTGCCTCAATTTGGTGAGCACACCTCATGCGCAGGAATAAATATTTACCCTTGTAATAGTATATTTTATGTCCTAGCTTCTCTCGGATGGCACGGGCTGGTTGTGAATTTTGGTGACAAGCCCTAGGAACAGGTGCCAGGTGACTTTGTGGTTAATGGGAATGATGACTTGCCAAGGGGCTATTGGAGAGCTCCTCTGGGCTGTGTGCAGGGAGCTGAGCCGGTCAGGCTGTGCTCCCTGCTATATTCAGGTGCCTGGCCCTGCTCCCCTCACACTGCCTCAGCCTGTGGTCCCAGGCAGTGTGGCACCCTGGCAGGATCTGTGCATGGTTCCCCACACCAGCTCACATCTCTGAGCAGCTGGAAGAGGTGCTGTCCCAGGGGCTGACCTTTGCTGCCTGGCAAACAGTCCTCTGCAGCTGCTTTTTTGGCTCCCATTTTTCCCCTCCCAGCAGTCCCTCACACCTCCACAGAGCACTGCGGCTGCCCACGCAGCTCCGGCTGCGGTCAGTTCCTCAGAGACGGTACCCATGTTAGCCAGTAACCAGCTCACCTAACACAAATGCTATTTATTCAGAAGAAAGACGTGCCAACAAAGACTCCAGATGCTCATGCTTCTCAGGCAGGTACTCCTTTCCATAGGGAGATCTTTGCAGGCCAGCTGTGTTTTAGGCTTTTGGGTCAGCCTGCCAGACTGGGGATGAGGATTCAGAGGTCAAGGCTGACATTTTATGCTCTTAGAGGAGGGAGGAAGGACCCTCCTGTGCTGCTGAAGCTCACTCCGGGGTACCACAGCTTCCACGTGAGGACAAGCCTGAATGCAGCCCAACTGTCCTCTGCTGTGGGCCCCCAGGACTCAGCCACAGCCCTCCCCGGCCACAGCCTCATCCCGCTGGCCAGGCTACAGCTTTGTGGGTTCCTCTGGGGCAGGATGGTTGTATGGTGCCCGGGGCTGCTGGCTCGCGGCAGGCGTGGGCAGGATGATGGGGGGGGAGTAGGGCCCTCGCTCCGGCCAGCACAGGTCCACAATGGGGTAGAGCTGGCCCTGGAACTCCGCTTGGAAGGTATAGATGGGGCTGAGCTCATCGGAGTTGTCAGCGTTGTAGAAGGTCAGCTCACCCTTCTCATAGTGCAGGTAGATACCAATGCGCTGGGGCCGGGCGGTCAGTGGCAGAATGGCCCGTGGGGTGCTGAAGGCCTCGTAGACCTTCCCTTCCTTCAGGCCGATGAGCCACACACCATTCTCGGGAGACTTGCTGAGTTTCCCTTTGCGGCTGACTGTGCCCTTGATGATGCCCACGCGCCAGTGGTTCCTGGTGCCCACAATCACCTCCCAGTAGTGCTGGCCGCAGGAGAAGCCCTTGCAGGTGAGGATGCAGTTGCTGGAGTCAAAACGCTTAGGGTTGCTATCCCGGCGCTGGTAAAGCCCACACTGCACCACCGTGTCACCTTTGAAGAGCTCCAGGAGGGGATGCGCTGTCACCGGGTCCAGTTTCAGCGTCTCTGGAGCTAGAAGGAAAGCACACAGGCTCCAGGCACACTAGCAGGCAGGGGTGTCTGGTAGACCCTGGCTCAGCCCGGCAAACTGGCACAAAGTGGAACTGCTAAACTGTAAGCAGCTGGAGTGTTACGCCAGAGCAGGCTGCTACCAGCAAAAGACATGGCCAACCACTGCTCCAGGAGCTCTCCTGGGGGTGAGGAGCACACAAGCAGAGAGCAAGACAGAGGCCAGGGCAGCACAACGCTGGCTGAGCAGCCTGTCCCATGTGCCAGCGAACCAGGGCACCCAGCACGCTACCAGCAGGGCAGGTTGGTACCTGGCAGGACGCGGCGGTGCAGGCGCTTCCACACAGTCATCTTGATGTCGTCTTGGTGGAAACATGGCTTAAAGGACACGGGGCTAAAGATGCCATCTCCAGGGTGCAGGCTGGGGAGCTCTGACCTGGAAAGACACAGGCAGCTGTGACACAGGGGATGGGGACGGGGTGTGACCTCTTCTCACCTGGCTGCCGTGTATGATGGAGCCACTGGTGTCTCGCCAGCTGCTCCTGCCCTCTTCTGGGGCTGAGTGCATGGCTCTGGCCGTGGCTATCCATCACAACAGCAGTGTCCATGTGAGGCTGCCCCAGCAATGCTGAGATGCCCACAGGCCTTCGATCTCTAACCCTGGTGCAAAGGCACTGCCATCCCCATTGATGCTGTTTGCTGCTGGGTCGCACCACTCACCTGAACTGGCAGGAGCCATACTTCTGGAAAACACAAAAGAAAGAGAGAGTCAGAGGTGGGAGACTGACAGAATAGCAGCTCCTCTGCGTGGTCACAGCTGGACACACCTGTGCCCTGAGCTGGAGAGGCCAGGGCTCTCCTCTCCTGGGAGACCAACAGGCATTGGCTCTCATGGAGGGCGGGTTTCTCCCATCGAGGGAAGCCCTGGCTGGACAGACAGCACCTCCATCTCACTTGTCGTGCTGTCCCAGCTACACTTGGTGAGGGTACCCACTGCCTAGGCAGGGCTCAGGGCTACAGGCACTGGGCTGAGGGCTGGAGAGCCTGGCTGACTGTCACTGCCTTCACTAGCAAGCACACTCACCCGGATGAAATCAAGCTGACTTTCATTGCTGAGTGCCTCCAGAGAGCTCTGCATCTCCTTAAGCCTCTGCAGGGCATCTGATGTCTGCTTAACCTGGGACTCGATGGAGGTGATGAGCTGGGCTGCCTTCCCCTCGATGCTCTCCAGGAAGGTGGCCTTCTCCTCGTCAATGTACCTGTGCAGCTCCTGGAACTCCTTCCAGATCACCCACTTGAAGACATCCGCCTCGTTCTGCAGGGAGACAGCAAGCGGCTGTGCAGGGCTGCCGTGCTCCACCCCCTTCACCCACTTTTTAGTTTCAGAGATGCCACCAGCAATGCCAATGTGTCCCACCAAGCAGCCCTCCACTGGCTTTCCAAATAAAGAGCAGCTCTGTACAGCAGGCTAGATGTTGTTTCATCCTGCTGTCCTCAGCAGCTCACCACCACAGCACCCCTGCCTTACACCTCTCCTCCCCCAGATTTTGATTTCCTGATGTCCCAACCAGCTTCATCAGAGTCTTGAAAGAGCTCTTGGATCCCTCTGCTCTTAAGGAACAACCTGTGTCCTGGGCTAAGGGGGAGAAAGCGCAGCTCCACTTTCATTTGGGTTGAGCCCTTCTGAGGACCCTCATTGGGAAGCTTTAGCCTCAGAACAGATCCCAGGAAGTCTTGTGGACACACGCAGCTAAACCAGGCATAAACTTGATGTGAAACCAATGGCATTGTTCTGACTGGGAAGCCTGCTCTGAGTGGGGTCCTTTTCACCTGTTATCTCCCCATCTCCAAGGACGTTCAGTCAAACCAGCTCTGACTGCTGCTCCCGCCAGGACACTTGATGAGGGTTACATCATCCCTTCCGAAAACGGCTGTGCCACCAGAGAGGGCTACGTCACCCTTCCCAAAAACAGGTCTATGCTTAATCTCTGAGTTTCATGGAGAACACGAACCTCAGGGAACAAGGTGGGAGATAAGCCCTGTCTGCTATCCCAGGGAAGGGAGAAGAGAAGGAAAGGAGTAGAGGAGGCAAGCTGGGGAGAACCAGGAGCAGAGGTTGCTCCAGGGGCTGTGTGGGACACAAAGGACTTGGGGACACAGGCTCCTTTGGCACATGGCACTCACTGCGATGCGGCTTTTGTTATTGATGAGCTTGCTGAAGTGTTCATCCAGGTTCCTCTTGTACTGGTGGACATCAGTCAGCAGCACAGACAGCTCCTCCTGAAAAGACAGAACCTCTGTAGGAGGAACCTTTGTGGCAGCCTCATTGATTGCAGGCAGTGCTTGTCAGCCCCCTGAGGAGCACATGGCCCTCAGAAGCCATGTTCTCCTAAGCATTCTCTGAGCTTTCTGGAGCCCTGCACATCCTGTTGATCTTCACTCTTTTGATCTAGAGGATTTGGGGTTGCCAGAGGCAGGAGAGCACTCAGAGCATGGCCCTGATCTGGATGCTGTTGACCAAGTACTCTTGCCAGCAGCACCATGTCTCCATTCACATTCCTGACCCTCCGTACCTCATACCCCATGGCGGCTCCGCGGGAGGTGGAAGGGAGGTGGCAAGCAGCTACAAGCCAGCACTGGGTCAGTGGCACTCTCCTAGCGCCAGTGCTGGGAGCCTGGCCAGGGCAGGAGTGTTTCTGGTGCCTCCTGCTCTTATCTCCCTGGTGCCAGGAGCAGAGGGGACGAGTGGCCCTGTGCTTTTCCATTCCCGGGGCTTTCATGTGATGCTGGGCAAGGGACGCCAGCTGTTTACTCTGCCTGGCTGGGGCTCCTGTTTCCCTGCCTCCCACCTCTCCTGTGGCACCTCGCCTCAGCCCTTATCTCCAGGCTCTTTTTGATGGTATTTGGAAACAGTCTTGAAAGGCCCCACTGACACTCCCCGAAACCCCAGCTCTCCCCACCACAGTGCAGTCACCGAAACTGTGAGTCCTCTGAGCCAGGGACATGCTTAGCCTGAGAAACAGCTGCCCCCCAGCCCAGGGACCCTGCCCCATATCTGGCTGTACCATGGGACCATGCTCCCTACACTGGCATAATTTCCAGGCTGTCCCTTGAAGGAGAGGGGACATTTGGCCAGCAAGCACTGCAGGTGCCCTAACCCCCACCCCAGGAGCCCCGGCCAGCTCTGCCTGCCAACCTTCATCCGGCAGTATGCAGTAGAGATGGGGGTGATCTTGTGCTGGCGGTGGTTGCCGATGGTGCCGCACAGCCCGCAGATCACTTCTTGGTCAGCCTCGCAGAAGAGGCTGAGGGGGTTGTGGTGCGTTGGGCAGGACTCTGGGGTGGGCTCTGCCTCGCCCCGGCTCTGCAGTGCCTCAATGACACGGGCCAGCGTGACATTGGGTGGCGAGGCACTGCAGTCCACCGTTTGGCGGCACACAGGGCACAAGAACTGCCCGTCCAGCTCTCCAGAGAGTGACACCACGCAGGATTTACAGTACGAATGCCCACACTGCAGCATCAAGGGCTCCTTGAAGACCTCCAAGCAGATGGGACAGAGTAGCTGGTCTTCCAGCTCGTCAATGCTCATCCTCCGAGCCATCCTGCTGCCTTCCCACACAGCAGCCCAGACCTGGTCTGGGAAACACAGGAGGGAGATCAGTCCTGTCCAAGATCAAGATAAGCAGAGATGAGTGAAGATGGAGCTCAGCACCTGGGAAAGGTGAAACGGAGAGATACCTCCACCCCCTGGCAGCAGCACAGACAGATGCAAACTTATTAGGCTCCACGCAAAGTCCGAGATCCTTATTTTAACCTGACACGGGTTTGGAGTCTGGAGAGATGAGACCACAGCTGACCAAGCCTGCTGGATCTGCCTAAGGTGTCAGAAATCACCACCAAGCTGTTCCCATCTGGGGCCTTTGCCTGGTAGGGATGTCAGACTGCAACCCACCTCAGAGGAGACCTGCCTATGTGCCAGGGCTGAAGACAGAGCCAAGAGGGATCTTCTGCTGAAAAATTCCAGTATTGACCCTTGCCTGTATGAATTTCTACAGATCTCTTTGGGCTTATCGTCTCAGTCCATGGACATCCTCAGAAGGACTGGCATTAACTCAAGTGATACATTTAAGCAAAAGCAGAAGGAAATCATAAAAAGCACGTTTATCTAGGAGACAGGGACAACCACCACACAGTAAACACCCATGAGGCTGGATCTGACCGATATGAGGGTTGGGAAGCTGAGACGCAGCGTGCAGGGCTACGACTGCAGCTCACCCCCTTGAAACACAGTGCTGTTTCTGGTCCTCACAGCACTCCACACTCCAGGCCAGCACCCCCAAGAGACACAAGCCCAAATCCCAATTTCTCCCACCAGCCTTGGGGCTGCTCGTGGCCAGCCTATTTAACAGCTATAAGGTTCGTGCAGCATTGCCTCCCTTGCTCTTCCTAGCACTGTGGGTTATGACTGCCAAGATCCTGGGCAAGTCAAAGACATGACCTGAAGTGAAAAAAAATAAAACTGAAGTCAGAGACATGGTAATTTCCCTAAGTAAAAGGGAGGCTGTGACCCAAGCTCGACTTTTATCATACATTGCTATAGGAGCTTGGTGAATCAAGGAAAGCTCAAATGTCAGCCTGTGACCCATCAGACACCGTAGGACCCCGTACAGGGGAACCAGCTTCAGCTGCTCCCTCTGCTCACACAGAGACACCTCCCGAAAGACCCGAATAATAGCATCCTGCTCGCCACACCACTCACGTGCCCTGCACAGCTTCCTCCCGGCCCGGGCTTGGGCTCTGCTTGTCCCAGCACACCAAGCCCGACAGACGTCACTCGGCTTCTCCCGATCAAGCTGAATATTTCGACACGGTTGGAAGGGCATACAAAGCTGGCAGCGAGACCAGTGGCCCCTCGGTGGGATGGGGAGGCAAGTCACCCCGCTCCTGCAGCCTCAGCCCCGCCAGGGATGTCCCTGCTCGCCAGGGAGAAGCCTGGCAGCCTCTTTTACCCCTCTCCTGCTCTGAGGACAGCGTCACACCCCTGCAAAGGGCTGCTCACCGCCCCTGACGCACAGGTATGGGCACACACATCATATGACTGCACGGGCAGGAGCCTTGATAAGAGCCAGCGGTGTTTGCCTCCCTGGGCAGCCAGTCTCCCTGAGTTCCGCTGGGGTATCACTCATCCGAACTGCTTGGGACATTTTCACCAAAACTCTTATCAACTGTCTTGGTTGAAACAGTATTTTTTTGTTGTTTGGTGAAAACCTTTCAGTCTTTTGGATAAGACCAGAAGGAAACCCAAAGCATCGGTCCTCCAGTGTGGGGCAAGGCACTCACGTGTTTTTGTCCAACTGTGCAAAAAATGGTTTCTCGTTTAATTATTCTTGGTTCACAGATGTGTTTGGCTTACAGCCAGCTCAGTGGCTTCCCTCCCAGAATCGCCCAGGAGAAGCTGGGGATGAGAAAGACTTCTCATCCAGAAAGGTCCAGCTTTGGGGCAACACTTCAGAGGCTGTGGGGTGGGGGGATGCAGAGACTGAGGTTAAAGGATTAGCCTGGGGCTCTCACCTCAGCCTCACACTGAAGGCCTTGGGCCTTTGGGCCGCCATAAACCAGGAAAGTACAGCACCCATTCCCCAAGGGGGGCTGGAGGCCGAGAACAGGCCACAGGGATGTCACTCCCTCGGACAGGCCTTTCCCGCAGCCAGGGAAGCACCCAAGCCAAGGTCTCCGAGTCCACAGGCTCAGCTCAGGGAAGCAAGCCCAGAGCCAATGGCCGCAGCACAACG